CCCATGAAGAGGTGGAGTCCTTGGATCTAGGCTGACCTTCATCTCCTGCCTTGATTTGGCCAATAGAATGTGGTACAAATGATACCATGTATAACATCCAAGCCTAGGCCACAAGGCCTTGCAATTTCCCATCTCATCTTCCTAGAATCCAGCAGCCATGTAAAAAATCTAGTCTAGTCTCTTTCAGCATGCAAGACTATTGGAGAGAGAAGCCCAGCTGTCCCAGCCATGCCCAACCCGGGGCCACTCGTCAGTTGAATGCAGCCACATGAGTGAGTCCAGAAAGGACTAATAGAAAAGCTGTTGTTCAATCCACAGATGCATGAGAAATAATACATAGTGGTTTTTTAAGCCACTGAGTTCAGGTCAGTTTATTCAGCAATAGTTAAATGACATAGGCCTCTGCTTTTGTGACCTCAGAATCCTCAAGCTGCCATGGGAGGGGGTGGGGTTTCCTGGGTAAGGTGGAAGGGTAGGACAGGCTCTCACCATAGAGAATGGCAGCATGGAGACTAGCTTGTCAATTTTCAGAATCTTCTTTGAAAGCAGATGACTCATAAGTGAGATTCTAAGAAGTTAAGAAGCAAAACAAAACCCATAGCTAATGACTGAGGCAATCAGAAAGATAGCTCAAACAGTGGCATGGAAAGCAGGAAAGCCGAGGTTTCACTCCTGGCACCGACATAGACTGGCTGGTACCCGACCTTGGCCCTGAGTGCGCCCATCCCCTGCTCCTTGTGCCAGAAGAAGTGGGGTCTGACCTGTCTCTAACTACGGAGGTTGTTCAAAGAGTGCTTAGAAAGGACTGACAAAATAAAAATCACTCTCCACTCTCACAATGACCAGTGGTGTTGGCCTTGTGGAAGATAGTGATTTCTGGAAGAAATCTGGAAGACTTCTTTCTGGAAGATAGTGATTTTTAAGAAGGAGGTAAACAAATGCAAAGAAAAAAATTAGGGGACATCCCACTAGGGACATAAAATACTGCAGTAATTCCCTCAGGTTAAAAACTACTAGGTAAATGCTTTCTTCAGATTTCTGGGGTAGGGATAGAGGGGCTTATTAAGATGGAAACCATGCTAGGAGGATGGAGGATGATTATAGCCATGGGAGGAACCCAAGCTTGGAGTTCTCCCTGCCTGAGTGGTCCCCACCCCTAAAAAATAAATAACTCACTGCCCAGTAGCCCCATAAATAAAACTAATTTTTCTTGTCCTTTCCGCTCTCTCTCTCTCTCTCTCTCTCTCACACACACACACACACGCATTTCCAAGTTATTTCTGGTGACCTAAAAGATGTACACATGCCAAATGCTTTCAGACTATGCCAGAGTCAACCGTCCTCTACCTCTTAGTGGCCAGTGAGAGGCAAGAGAATAGTCGCTGAAATTCAGAGGATAAACAAGGCCTACTTCCAGGCACCGTTGTTTCTCTGAAGCACTGTTGGCTCCTGAATTTGATTCAGCTGCTCTCTGATAAAATCTGGGAAAAACGTTAGAGGTATCTCCAAAATTTTACTTGTGTTTTACTTAATTCATTCAACATTTATTCAACAAATACTATTTGAACACCCACTGTGGGCCAGGCATTATCCTAAATGCTGAAGGTACAGTGATAAACAAAAAGAATTTCTGCTGTAGTTCTTTCTGCCTTCTGTTCTTTCCCCATCTATAAAACAGGAATTATACCTCCTCAAAAAAGAAATTATACCTCCAAAAAAAAGTTGGGAAGAGTAAATGAGATCATCTTTCATTACCTCATATGTTTAGCACTGTGAATCTGTGAATAGCAGTTAATTTTGTTGTGGAGGGGCCTCTTGTCCTCCTCCCTCTCAGAGATTCCCTTTCTCTCCCTCTACCCTCTCAGCCTTGGTATGTCTTTCTTGTGTGCAGAGAAATGTCCCAGGCTCTTCTCCTTACCTTCCCCCATGAGCTTCCCATCTGGAATCAGAGAATCCCAGACTGGACCTATCAGTTCAGTCACTGAGTTATCAGTGAAAAGGAGGAACTTCTCTAGGGGCAGGTGCTACCCCGCTTTAAACCAAGACCAACTGGAGACTAGGCATGCCTATTGCTGAACAATTTGGAAACGTCCACATCCCACGCGGTTGAGCCGTGTGCATAGCTGTTATTTACTGAGACCAAATGAATCACAAAATGCATTCAACGGTCATAATAAATGGAATTTTTTAAAAGTAATTTTATCTCCTCTAAGTGCTATTTCATGCCAAAAGAGTTACACCCAAACAGGCAATATGCTTTTACTACAATGATCTTGATTTGTCATTCTTTGGAATGTAGGGATTTGAAAGAGGAAGTTTTCCTCTGTGGTTGAATCACTTTTCTGTGGAGGAGGATCTTTCCTCTTAAGACTGAGGATTCTGATTCTCACCCACCTCCAAGCAGAAAAGGTCTCTTCTGTTTTGCCTAAAAACCTGATGGCATTCCTCACCTTGGGAAATAATTTGAAAGTAGAGTTATTTTTCACAAGGAATCAGTTGCCTCTTCTCATTCCTCCTCACAACCTCTATGGTGCTTCCAGCCAGCTCGTTCATGGTTGTTTCTTGGACAAGCCCCAAGCCATCCCTCTTACACGTCTGTCTCCTGGGGACACCATGGCCATAGTTCCTCCAAGTATGCCCCCTTGGCATCTTCAGAGCTTGTCAATGATGCGACCTGTGTTCTTGTTTTCTGAGTGGCTTTCTGTCAGCTTTTCCCATTCCCTAGCCAAGCTCTCCTTCGCCAGTCAGGAGCTCAGCTGGCCTCCCTTGGTTGAGGGTGGAGATTCCTTCCTGATGACCCATCTGATTTTTATTGGATAAATGTGTTTGGTGATTAGCAGGGATTTTTTTTAACATAAAAATTGCTCAAGGCAGCCCTCACACTTCATGACCCAGCAGGATTTCTTTCCCAAGCACCAGGGCTGTCAGTGGCACTTGGATCTCTACAGCCTGTCAGCAGAGGGGGTATGGGAGGAGGCGGGGATGGGACACCATTCAAGGGCTTAGCCGCATCTCACATCCCTGTTTTCCAGCAGCGTGGATATCGCAAATGGAAAAATGTTTTCCTTCACACACATTGTTGTTTTCTTTCCCCCTTGATGAGCTAACATCATAAAGAGTCTGTATTTTTTTTGTAAATGAATTAATATTGCTAAATAATGTAAAACAATTATCCAAATTTATCATGACATACAGTAGATGCTAAGTAAAGTCTTGGTGTTTAATTAAACGTATAAATAAATTAAAGAGGGCACATAGTGCATGGAGCACTGGGTGTGGTACATAAACAATAAATCTTGGAACGCTGAAAAAATAAAATTTAAAAAATGTATTTGTGAATTTAGCTGCCCTCAACTGCATTATGCCATTGCATTTTATATATGTAAGTAGGTGTTAGGGATTTATAAATCTTGAATTTTTTATTGAATCTTAAGGAAATAGGCTTAATATTTTGTGAATAGCTTTTAGCACTATTATGCCTGTAAAGGGACTTTGAAGGAACTTTAAAATGACATTTTTCTCACTTAGAATTAGATTAGGAATTGTTTCTCTACCTACATGTATACTTTGGGGGAATCTCATTGGTAGATTTAGATCCTAAATCAAGTAAATTAAAGTCATATTAAAGTACTGCCTTTTAAACCTTTTTAGTCAGTCTGGAAGGCAGATACTTACTTAGCCAGGAACACATTTCTAGTTGGAAACAGCCTTAGGATCTTGTTTTTAGCTCCGTCTCTGCATTAAGAATCTCATGTACGCTTCCTTTGGTTCCAGGTACACTGGTCTTCTAGGCAGGGTCTTAGCCAGTGTGGTATTCTCAGTGTGCTCCCTGTGCCACTGTCATTGGCATTACCTGGGAGCCTGTTAGATCTATACTTTCTCAGGCCTCACTGTAGACTTACTGGATCAGCCCCGTTAGAGGAGGAACCCAGTCCTCTGTGTTTCAACAAGCTCTGCAGGTGATTCTGATACATCCTGAAGTCTGAGAACCATAGGCATAGTGCATTAAATGGATGTACTTCCATGAGAATAAAAACAGGATTGACCTCACTGTCATGCTTTCAGGACCAGGTCTGTATCATCACTGGCATTCTGTTTGTTCCTGCATTGCTGATTGTAGAGGGTCTTAAGAGCACCCTGTCCCTGGTCTTTGAGGTTAATCACAACATTTGAGGCTGAGGACTGATGGGTTTGCTTCATAGAGGAACCCAGTTAGCTCACCAAGGCTACACTTTTCAATGGCCCACAGAAGCCAGCCTGCTGCTTTGAAAATGCCTTTCCAGTCACAAATCAAGATAAGGTGGGTGCATCAGTTAAACCAATAGATGTTTTTATTGAGCACCTACTGTGCTTGTAACAAGAGATGATCAAGACCTTTGCATTGACAGGAAAACAGCTTGGAAAGTGCTAGATGATCATCGACTTGTACAGGATATTTGAGACTTATAAATTGGCACTCCCCAAACTGAGGCAGGAAGAGGGCGGGACAGGTGCGGAAAGGCAAGAGCTCTCAGTTGAATAAAGTTCCACAGATACTTGTGTAGAGGACTTTTGTGTCATTCATATGTCCCTTGTGAATTCGAAAAGGGCACGTGTTATGCCGCATTTCCTAAATGTATATTTGACCTTAGAACATGCTCTTTACAACACTTCTCTTATAGCATCATAAAACAATATTTTGCGGTTGAGGAAAGGCTTTTCCAAATGAATACTCTACTTTTGAGGGGGGAAAATGTATTTCTCATAATGGATGGCATTATGGGAAACAGTCATTCAGGAGAACAGATGCAGTTTATATATAAACGTAGGGCTACAAATAGCTCTCTGAAGGCTGACGTGGGTTCTATCGTGTACAAAAAGCTTTTGAGATCTGGTGTAGGGAAAAGCCCATGTGGCCTGGTAGTGAGGTTTGGCTCTGCTATTCCCTAATTGTAAAATTGGACAAGTTACTTGTCCTCTCTGAACTAAACCTCTTTTGTGAAATGGTAACAATGATAGTAAAAATAATCAGTAATAAGAAGACCTATTATCAGGGTTGTTGTGAGGGTCAGATGAGTTACTGCCAGCAAAACTGACCTGGCTTACATTAAGTGGTTAATAAGAATTGGGTTTCTGGGGTGTCTGGGTGGCTCAGTCAGTTAAGTGTCCGACTCCTAGTTTCAACTGAGGTCATTTTCTCAGGGTTGTGTGTTCTAGCGCCACATCTGGCTCTACTCTCCATGTTGAGTTGGCTTGAGATCCCTCTCCCGCTCACCTACACATGCGCTCTCTCAAATAAAATCTTTTTTAAAAAAGGTTCCCTTTTTCACTAAGCAAAAATTGGTTTGCTCTTAGACTATCCCCTTACCAATGAACAAATCCTTAGTATTGATTTCTTTTGGTGGTGGCAGTAGACACTCAGTGTTTATTTTTGTTTCTTTGATCCTGGTGTGACACGGAGCAACCCACATCAAAACACTGAGATAATTTTAAAATAAAACACCTGGGTGGTGCAGTGGGTTAAGCGTCTGACTCTTGGTTTCAGCTCAGGTTTTGATCTCAGGATCATGAAATCAAGCCCCTTGTCGGGCTCAGGGCTCAGCACATAATCTGTCTGAGATTCCTCTCTCTCCCTTTGCCCACCCTCCACACCCTCCCATCCCCCACCCCCACTCGCTTGCTCACTTGCTCCCTTGCTTCCTTGCTCTCTCTCTCTCTCTCTCTCTCAAATAAGTAAATCTTTTAAAAATAAATAAATAGGGGTACCTGGGTGGTTCAGTGGGTTGAGCCTCTGCCTTCGGCTCTGGTTGTGATCCCAGGGTCCTGGGATCGAGCCCCACATCAAGAGCTCTGCTCAGCGGGGAGCTTGCTTCTCCCTCTCTCTCTGCCTGCCTCTCTGCCTACTTGTGATCTCTGTCTCTCTCTCTGTCCAAAAAAAATAAATAAATAAAAATAAATAAATAAAGCACCTAAAACTCAGTTAACTACAAATAACAAAATATACTGAGGATTAGTAGCTTTAAGCTGTTTGCACCAAGTCAGCAGGTTTAGGTGTGTACTCTCCAGAGTTCTGTCAAGCCGTCTATCTGCTCTATTGTTTCTCTGTTAGGTGGAGCCAATTGGAACCATAGTAATTAGAGGAGAAACTAACTGCAGTCTAAGTTTTCACTGGGGGATAATTTAGCCTCAGGAATTTCATTCCAGCCTGTGACTCTGTGTAAATTTGACTGTCATTATGACAAAAAGAAAGAGTTTCTGAAAGCATTCTGAAATTCTGCCTTTCAGTCATTCATTGTATTTGCTCTAGGAGGTTCTCTTTTTAGTGCCTATAGGCTTCTTTCTCAAAGAAGCAGTGGACTTCTCCCCAAGACATTGTTTCAGTGTTCACTATAATAGTCCTTACAAACTGAACAGGTGATGGGGCTGTGCCCAGGCTGCTGTCAAAAATGCTCCATAAAGGAATAAAAGAGCTGCTGTATGGACTGCCCCATTACATCTTTTTTTTTTTTCAATTTTTAAAATTTTTTAGAGAGCACAAGTGGAGGGGGGAGGGGCAGAGAGCGAGGGAGAGAGAGAATCCTAGGCAAGGCTCCATACTTGGTGTGGAACCCAATGCGGGCCTTGCTCTTACAACCCTGACTGAGATCATGACCTGAACCGAAATCAAGAGTCAGACGTTTAACCAAATGAGCCACTCAGGCACCCCATCCTCTTTTTGCCTTATGTGAAGAAGTTTTGCCTCCAGAGGGAACCAAGATGATATTGTCCATAAGGAAATAAAATGCAAAGACGTATGTCCAAGGATGATGTATTAGAACCATAAGTAGAAACATCACCATGAAAATAGCATAATTCAAGGAGAGTTTATTTATGAAGAAGGAGAGGGCAGGAAAATCACGGGATAGTACAGTAAATCAGGGACAGTAGCACCTAACCAATTATCCTTAGGCTGGAGGAAAGTGGTTACCACACTCAAAAGGGGAGCGAGGTCTACTGAGTCAGCACCTTGAAAGGAATGTTGGTTAAGGGGTTCGGTCAGGGACAGGCAACTTCAGAGGGAGACAGGGAAATAAATACCTTGGCTGTCTCCTTCTTCCTGCTCATCTCTTGCCAGAGCTCCCCCTTAGTTACCCCAACAGGGAGCCAGAGGAGGCAGGGGACCTCGTGATGTAATCCATGCTGGTTAGCTCCCAGAGAAGAGGGCAGGAAAAAGAGTGGATGTTCTCCAGCACAGACGGACATTGTAACACCATTTATAAAAGCCAAAGAGTAGAATCTGAAGGGATGACCATCAATAAAAGATGGGCAAAATACATGTTAGAGTAGACTGCTACCCAGTACAGCAGAGAAATGAAGTAGTTTTATATGTACTGGTATAGAACAACCTTCTAAGGTACATTAAGGAAAAAGCAAGGTACTCTGGTTCTCAGCCCAGGCTGCATATTAGAATCACCTGGGGAGGGGCACCTGGGTGGCTCAGTGGGTCAAGCCACTGCCTTCAGCTCAGGTCATGATCCCAGGGTCCTGGGATCCAGTCCCACATCTGGCTCCTTGCTCAGCGGGGAGCCTGCTTCTCTCTCTCTCTGCCTCTCCCTGCCACTCTGCCTGCTTGTGCACTCTCTCTGACAAATAAATAAATAAAATATTAGAATCACCTGGGAAACCTAAAGTAAAAAAATGTCAACACCTAGGCTCCTTTGCTGGAGCCTCAGAGTTCATTGGTCTGGGGTGGTGTCTGAATTTTGGTATGTTTCTTAAACTTCCTAGGTGATTTTGATACCTAGCTAGATTTAAAAACTTCCTGTGTGCATTATAAGCTCCTATTAATATATAAGAATCTAGGGAGGTATATATATATCTACAGATGTGTGTACATATTTAATATTTCTGTAAGTTACAGGGGAACGAGTCAATGGTAGAGACAGGGCAGTGGCCTTTGGTGGAAGGGAAACTGATTTCCTTTCAACCCTACCTTTTTGTTGTGTTGGAATTTTTTTAATATGTGTGTATGGATTGTTCAGTTTTGAAAATCAGAAATAGATTAGCTCAGTCTTAAAATTACCATTTTACTTTTTTTTTTATAGTTGTGGGGTACATCTTTGTAAGGATTTTTTTAATACATGTGAGCTTCTATTTTCCAATTCTATTGAAAAATAATTGACATACATCACTGTGTAAGTTTAAGGCATTCAGTCTGATGGTTTGATTTTTAAAATATGGAATGCTTATGATTTGCATGTCATTTTTGCCCAGGGACCATGCTAATCTTCTCTGTATCGCTCCAATTTTTGGTGTATGTGCTGCCAAAGTGAACACAAGAATTTTTTTTAAACTTTTCAAATTTGTTACATCCTTAATAACTAAGGATGTGTATAAGATGCTGTTTGAAGAATAAGACTTATACCAAGAACGTGTTGCTTTTGGTGTGTTTCAGTGAAATCAAGTCTTGAATTATTCTTTCAATGACCACATGACTCTTGTCCAGGTTGGTCTGCCCAGGGCTCCAGGTCAGTCTAGAAAATGGTAACTCTGAGACAGCTGAGGAAATTTGTCTCAGGGAACTAAGTAAAGTATTTCCAGTTACATCTCTGCATCTGGCCTTTTTTCAGATTTCTTACTAATTTGAGAAGCCCTAACTTAGGAAACCAGAAAGTCGTTTTTTACATTTACTCATGAACTCCCCCACCATTTCCTAAACCAACATTATGAAATTTAAGTAGTTTAATTTTCTTGAGCTATATATAGTTCTTTAACCTCATCTTCATCTGTCATCCTCCATCTGCTCTCTCCTCAATTTCCTTTAAAAGCCCCATTTTAAAGCAAAATATATGATGAAAAAAACTTAGCTCCCGACCTTTTATAGAGGTACACTAGTTACTCAATAATAATTAGCAGTTGCCCTGGTAACCTCAGACACACTGCTTAAATCACCTGTATTCCTCACTATCCCCTGCCTTCTAGCCAGTAAGATCACCTGCTTGGTGCTAATGAGAAAAAGAACGATTGAGTAATTTTATAATCCTGTTTAGGTTCTACTATAGGAGTAGGAGAAGTGATACTGTTTGTGATTAGACACACTGAAAAGAGGGTTTTTTGTTTTTCGAATGACTAAAGCAGTGAAATAGAGAAATCATCTTAGATTTGCACAAGTTGGCAAGCTTAATTTTGTTCACCACTGTACTCACAGCCTTAGAGGATGTAAGCAGGTACGACTTGCAGATTTGAATCTAAGGGTCACAACACTAGGGTTGTAATGAGGAATGACATGGGCAAGGCTGTCATCATGCCATGTCAAACATCCCTAACTAGAACGGCTAAAGCCCACTAACTTCAGCCCTTAAACTTGAAGAATACTGCTTGAAAGCTGGAAAATCCAAACCTGAAGCACAAAAGAGATTTCTTATCTAAAATAATGTGTTGACTTCAACTCTGTCTTGGAGGAAACCTGTATTCTCCTTTAACTTCCATACGCCATGCCTTACAGCACAAACTTCATGACAGGAGTGCCATGGAACTCTTTGCTTCCTCTGGGGGAGAAACAGCCCCCACCCCCTCACACATCCTCTTTCCCATTCTTCTCTTGATCCTTTGTGTGAAAGTGGAATTAGAGGAAATATGTCCTTAGTCATCCCATGGCAGCATTTACAATGTGCAATTGTCACAGTGAAAATACACTGGCAGGAGATCAAGAATCAAGAAGTGGAGTCATGGGAATCCTGGACACACTAATCCAATAGACACAGGATCCACATGTTAGTGACTGACATGGCCAATATAATCCTCCCAGACAGTAGTTAGACCCAGCACTGTCCCAAGTGAAGACTACAACTGAATAATTACCAGAAGAACACCCACCAACTGCTCTTACGTGACCCTCTAACCTATCTTGAATCTCGGTGGAACACAGACTTAATCTTACGTGTCCCTTTGGTATATGGCACCACCAGTTGAATATTTGCTGCTGTAGCCTTCCTGCACCCTGGAGGCCTCTTGAACATCAGCACTCGGAGTCGGCCAGATCTGACAGACAATCCCTTCCCTGTCAGTTAGCAAACACATACTGAATACCACATATTTAAGACACTGTTCCAGGCACTAGGAAAGAGATGAGCAAATACTTTTCCCTCAAATCTCTTACAACCCAGATGGTAGAAATCAGATCTATATATAGGGAGGGGAGTGTTGGTGCCAGAGCGAGACTGTTTTTAAGTAGTAAATGAGTGGCTTTGTCGTTCACTTAAAAATATTTATGGTTGACTGACTTGTCTTTGCAATTTATGTTTTGTGGGCAGGGTTTCCAATAATCTCCCTCCTTCATCTTCTAGAGCTACCCTGAAGTTTGTAATTTCCTTGTCTGCCTTGGTCCAGCTTACAGAGAGTGGGGGAGGAAGAATTATAGTTTTATGACCCAACTTTTTTATTCTGTTAGCAAGAAGGCTGCCTATGGTTAAGACTGCCAACTGTCCTTGGGCTTAGAAAACAAGATGGTGGAATGTTCCAAATGTTTGTTTGTTGGCTTGTTTGTTTTAACCAGAAGTCTCTATGGACCTCACATTTAAGATGCCATAAAATTTAAAATTTGGACTATAAGAATGATGGAGAGAGAAAAAAATATTTGAAGGAATTAAAAGTTAGAATTTGATCTCATTTGGTTATGTTATGTTTTTGAAGCCTCCCCACCTCCAACCAGAATTTCTCATTCGGACTCTTGTACTTTTTTTTCCCTCCCAAACAACCAGCAGTTTACGAATACTTGCTACAAAAATCTTAACACTTGCTTGTATAAAGCCCTACACCAAATATCCTGTTAAGTTGAAATTTAACTTGAGGGATTGTTTTCTGAACTAATGTGGAAAAGGAAAGCTCTTGAGAATTAGTTCTTTAAACTCTGAATCAGAAGAGCCAGGAAAAGTAGGTGAGCAGAGACTATGCTTTGCATAGTGGGTCAAGAGAAATTTTGCTACCACATTTTCACGCACAGCCAAATCTCTGTGTAGGGGTGCAGGCTCTTTTTTCTAGCTCTTTGTCTATAAGGAAATTCTAAATTCCCTCTTCTTCACAAACAAGTTATTAAGTTCTGCCTTTAATTTCAGCATGAGTCAATTAGGTCATATGCCCACAAGCAAGCACTCTGGTTCATCATTACAAAGGAAGAAACTTTTCCTGCTGTATTTTTCTTTACACACATGACTGATTTTTCCAAGTTCTTCTTCCTCTTGCAGAAATGTCAGCTTCTGGTGTTTATTCTTTTCAAGGTATAATTCACTAACCAATTCCAGTGGCAGTACAAAGGGAGGTTTAACAGAACCTAAGTTGAGTTGATATTTTGAATACCATTTGATCTGAACTGGGCTCTTAAGAGAGCTCTGTTACCAATAATCTGAATACTCTTGTTGAAAGCCAGCTTTGCGCCTTATTCCTCACTTTATTTCTCCACCAAGTCAGGCACATCTTGGGAAGAATTAGGTCTCTATGTACAAAACCGTCAGTAGAAACCTAAGATCCTCATCAAGAATATAAATATGTAATCAGTACGTCGGCCCCCGTCCCCAGAATAGGAGAGCAATTTGATTTCAAGCAAAGCCCTCTTATGGGGGGACCTGGGTGGCTCAGTGGGTTAAAGCCTTTGCCTTTGGCTCAGGTCATGATCCCAGTGTCCTGGGATCAAGCCCCACATCGCGCTTCCTCCTCTCTCTCTCTCTGCCTGCCTCTCTGCACTTGTGATCTCTGTCTGTCAAATAAATAACTAAAATCTTAAAAAAAAAAACAAAAAACAAAAAACCCTCTTATGCGCTGCCACAGCCTTGGGCTTAACTTTTACTCCAGATCCATCAAGAAATAGAAGAATTTGTAGTAAAGAAGAGAAGGAAGATACTTTCTCTGCTCAGATGATCTGACCTGAGTCTTGCCACCTATAAAGATGTCCCCCTTTTTTTCCGGAGAGGATATGACCCTATAAAGACTACTTTCAGCGAACCCTGGGTGGCTCAGTTGGTTGAGCATCTGTCTTTGGCTCAGGTCATGATTCCAAGGTCCTGGGATCAAGTCCTGCATCAGGCTCCTTGCTCAGCAGGGAAGCCTGCTTCTCCCTCTGCCTGCCACTCCCCCAGCTTGCTCAGTCTCTCTCTCTCTCTCCCTCTCTCTCTCTCTCTCTTTCTCTCTGACAAATAAATAAATAAAATATGTAAACAATAAATAAGTGACTACTTTCCTGTGTATCACTGTGGGGCTGCCTTTGCTTCGTATAATAGCTGTGAGATGGGAATGTGTGTCTTTGCAAAGCTGGGAGTAGAATCAGGACTCCTCTAAGGGCTGTGCTTTGGTTTTGTTGAGCAGGGTGTGCAGATTGAGATTTTTGGAGGCTGGGTAGGAAAGAGGGAGGAGAGATGACAGTGTTGTCAGTAGGGGAGGAATTTTGGGGGAACAGAACTATCTAAAAGGAAACCTTAGGAAGTTTCTTATGTTGGTAAGAGGTATGAATGCTCTTTCAAGTCCTCTCATGAGTCTTCAGTAATCAAGTTTTCATTATTCAGAGTGTCACAGTGTTAAGAACATGAACTCTGGGACAGACTTACTTGAGTTTGTATCCCAACTTCACTGCTTCTTAGCTGTGTTGCTGAGAAGAACTTACTTGGCATCTGTAAGCACCTCTATTTAATAGGAATAGTAGTAGATCTACCTCACAGGGTTGTCATTAGGCTTAAAACTTAGCAAGGCTTCTAGTTAATAAATGTTCACTTACTATATATTTATTTTTATTTTTTATATTATTTATATTATTTTCTATATTATTTTATTATATTATTTTATTTATTTATGTTAGTAATTATTGGGAGAGTTGTTACTTTACCAGTCACTGAGGATGTGAAGTGTCTCTGAGGGTGTACTGAGATGTTGAATCCTGCCTCCTGACAGGGTGAGAAGGGAGGCTGCCCACAGGATTCCACTGAATCCATTTCCAGAGTGACACAACCACGCCCCCTAACTCATCCAGACCAATCTTGGTTACCCACCTAACAGGGAGCACTAAAGCACTCTGAATAGCCAGGAGAGCCCACACCTTCCTCTGATCACTTCAGGGGATGGAGGGAGTATGAAGCAGAAGCACGGGCCAGAAATCCAGTCAGGCCGGAAAGAGCTGGAGCTTCTGCGAGGTGGCATCTCTTGAAGGAAAGCCAGGACCAGAATGAAGTTGAGCGGCTCTCTTTGTGCCAGCCATATCACTACCCTTTAGCCATTTGGAGTGTTGACCATCTCAACAAGAAGCTGCCTCCGCTTCATACTCACCCCTGACTTATCCTTTCCCACTGTTCTGT